GCACGCGCACACACACACACACACACACACACACACATATACACACATACACACACACACACACACACACACACACACACACACAAAAAGGTCGCAAATAATACTTACCTAGTACTATTAGGCAAGAGTGAATAGGTTTTTGTTAAGTCAGTGCAATTCACCATCTTAGACTACATAACCACTTACCGATGGGATTGTAGTTGCTTTACTACTTGCTGGGTAAAAATAGTAAAAAAGAAATTTACCCTGTGAAAGTTTGCATTTAGATATAATTTTTCTAACCAACCATAAAAATATGATGAGAATATGTATATAAGTATAAAGATTACCTCACACGGAACAGTAATAATATAATATTATATCTTCCATTATCTCTGAAATCCGAGGTATGTTCATATTAAGAGGCTGAATAGAGCCACATTGAAATGTATGGGGATGGTTTTGTAATTTCACGTCATTATCGAAAAAAATTTGTACGTATTTCAGGTAGCGGTTTGCAAAACACGATTCCACAAAAATTAACTCAATGGAAAATAATTGCAATGTTGCTTCTAAAAATACTTAAATTTTCAACGTCAATTTTTTTTACGTGGTAGAACCATGCTACAGCTATATTTATTAGGTATAGTTGTAGCACGAATGGGTCGGCTCGACCGGGGAAGGGCCACGCTCTCACGGAATAACATGTAAAATAGCAGTTTAACCCTGCTGTGTTTCGTATGGTGAGTGTAGAGAACCGGAGGACCTTTTTACTGAAAACGAGGCATTACATCTTAGTCCTCACGGGTGACAACGCATCTACATTATGATACGTAATCGAGGATAGATGTAGATGTGTATGGGCCGTAGCCACCACTTACCATCAGGTGGACTGTGTGCTAGTTTGTCACCCTTATTCTATTTAAAAAAAAAACTTTCTGAGATTTCAGTAAAATAATGTTAAGTACTGTAAGCACTCTTACAATTATGTCTCATGTTAATAAAGCTATTGGGCTATTTTGATTTGTAATAAAGTGATTTTACTTTATAGGTTAAATAATTTATTTACCTTTCTATATTAAGAACCGTTTTTCTGTCACTCCTATTGAATTTGACAGTGCTTGCTGAAATTTAGCATCTTTAGATGGATCAGAATCGCCCGCTGATCCGGCTGTTAGATATTGCAAAAATAATCGAAAATATTTATTTTTACTTTCATGCCCAAGACTACCTTGTTTTATTTTATTACGGTCAAATAATATTTATAAGGTTATAAAGCAAGTAGTTTTGTAAATGTTTTGTATGTAAATGTAAATGTTTTCATTATTTTGTTATTCTATTGTTTACAGTTATTATCACGTCTTGATGGGATGCGATGTAACGCGCATACATTATTTTCATCAAGAACTATAATATATATATATATATATATATATATATATATATATATATATATATATATATAGTGAAGAAGTATAGTGTAAAGTTGCAACAAAATCTTAAAAAAGTTCAATGAATTAAAAAATGCCGATAGTTATATAATTTCAAGTCAGTGTTTTACATTTAAAGATCAGTTATTAAAGAGCCAAAGTTCTTATTTTCATTTTGATTAATTTTATTCGAGACTAAAATAAATGTGAAAGGGCTTTTATCTGCAATAATAATTTTCATCAAAAATAACATAGACTTATAAAAGTCATATACACGGTCAATCATACTGAAGATTATCAATTGTACTACAAAATATTTAAAATACTATTTCCAGTATAATGACCCGAATATCATCATTAATGTTTGACTGGCACACTTAAAAGTTTTATCACATGGCTAAATGATTGACTTTTATGTTATGATAAGGTCATGCTTTTCTATAAAAAGTTGCAAGAAATTTTAATTCCCGGCCCTATTGGTTTGTTTTACTTTTTACTTAATTAGTGAAAAACAAAATGGACTGATCTAAAAGTTTACTTTCTTGTGTAAAAAGTGCTATTTAGAATTTTATGCAAATGATAATTAAAGTTTCTATGTAAATAAGTGTAACATAGCGGGAATTATATTCAATGGTAGCGGCTATCCGTATTTGCAAAGCCAGCATCATTTTCTGCACAGAAACCGGCAAAGTGTTGCTCAAAGCACTATAAACAAAGCAGCTGATAAAATGTTACACTCATAACTGTTAACAAAAACTGTTTTCCCAAATAGTCTTATAGATAATAATAACTATTCAGCCGTGTTAGGTGCAGAAGTTATTATTAGAAGAAGAAGAGCTAAAATTTTGTTTTAGAAATGCGCAATCAATATTGTTTTGTCTGCAATTGAGCATAAAATAAAAAATAACTTCAGCCAAAGAGCATAACTGGCATTATACTCAGGCCCATCAATTGGTATGGAAAAAAGTAATTTTACCAGGCTTCAAAATATCAATCAAAATTCAAAAAACATAAATATTAAAATCAAAAAATGTATATATGTATGTCTATACATACGTATAATGATTTATGGCCGCTTAGTAACTGACGGTGACTCACTATAACATCCTACAGTCACGCCGAAACTAAGAGGAGAGAATCACTGTAGAAAAGGTAATAATTTATTGCGGAAATTTTGTGATAAAATTAAAAAAAATATAAACTTATCCAAGTTAATTTAACATATTCTAATTTATCCTTATGCGTACAAAAAAAAAACAAATAATAAAATAGTGAGATGGCGTCAGTTTTTAAGAAGATATAACAAAAATAAATAAAAAAATACATTTCAATAAAGTATTTAATTGACTATATACCGCTGACACTTAATCACGCTTTTCGAAACCACGCCAGTTGTAAACAATACTTGTGCGAAAAGACAAAATCTTCTTTTCAAATTTCCGCCGAGTTGTAAGTAGAAGGCCAAATAGGTCACGTGTCAATTTTAATTAAATATATTTTATATGAAGTGATCTTAACTACGTTTCATCAATTAACCATTGGTAAAAATTAAAACAGGAATTTTACGATTGTGTTTACAAAAAACATTATTAGTTGAACCTTGCAGCTTGTTCATTATTTTTATTATAAATACCTATAAATGTATATATTATTAATAAATAGTTCCCATAATATATTGGATTATTTTTTATTTTGCCCTATCTGCAATGTTCTACGCTCTATAGAAAATGTGGCGTATGACATGACTGACAATCTTTCGAACGTTTTATCTAGGTACAAAGATGTTTTACGTTTTCGTCGCCTCCACATGATATTTTTGTCAGCATAAGGTACCCTTCTATATCTGAAACGAATATAAATATTGCTACAAAGTAAAGTAATAGGCTATACAAGTCCCTCTACTAGGCACAGGACTCTTTTTTTATTTCTAAGAGGGTTTTAGGGCAAGGAAATGCCCGCCGTGCTTCCCCATTGCGTGTTGACGAAAATTGCAATTACAAATTTCATTCCTGCTGTCGAGGTTCAAACCCTGGAAAATTTACAGCGAACGCTTTGACGACATATTTTTAATACGACACAAATAAATACGATTTACCATAGATAATAAAAATTCTTACGTACTTGAAACTTGAACACTTGATAGCTCGTGATGCCTACCGGACACAGCTACAGCACCACACCGTGCAATGTAATTGAAGATGCGTAACCGCGACATAATTCTCAGTGATGCGCAAGCATAACAGGCAGTATGTCACTTATATAATTGTCATCTCTGCAGCCTATTAATCTTTGCACTTTTATAAGTAATACAGAACGTAGTTGCTAGACGGTGTTGACATCGGCTAAAATCTCTGCGATCGCCGTTTCGTCAAGGTCATTCAGGCTAGTTAAAGCCTTAATATGTATAAAAATAGTTTTATGTTTTAATTCGTCATCACAGTATTTGTGACACATTTATGGCACGGATTATCGGATGAGCCATGGTAGCACAGGGGCATTTCATTTACTATAACTTGTACATATTATTCACTTTAAACACAGAGTACCTTTAACTTTAAATTATATTTTAAGCTAAGTTCTATTTGTTTTTGAACATATTAAATTGTTTTACTTTAGGCTATATTTTGTCCATAGATTAATAGATCTGTAGCAAGTGCATAGTGCAAGTTAATTTTGTCGTGCGAAGGTTTTTTTTTTTAATACATGACCATGGATACAAAGTCTTTTGGCCACAGTATATATGTCGTCTATGAGACACTTTTCTATGATACTTTTTAATTGTTCTAAGTTAATGTTATTTATTATCAGTATTCTTAATGTACCTTAGTTTACTAGTTTAGTTGTAGCTGTCTTGAAAACAATTTTTATCGTTTTGTGTATTATAATAGTCTTTTAATTTTGGAGTGTGTTAGCTGGCGGGTGGTGCAGGGATAGCAATTTGTAGTCGAAATTATTACTATTTTTTACGTTTTATAATTTTAGTTATACTATATTATTTATTCTTACCATTTGGGTCTATATTATTTATTTATTTGTATATTCTATTACATATAGATGAGTTCCGATGATGATTCTTTTCTTTCTGCCAACGAGTTTTGTTCATCAAATGACAGTTATTGCTCGTTTACTGAAACGCTAGGGGATTTTGTGCGACGTAAATTCGAACAATCTCGCTCCTTGTTTAATGTTTGCCACATTAATGCACAAAGCGTACCTAGTCACTACAGTGACCTGACTGAGGCTTTCACTGACGCTGATGTTCATGCCGTCTTGATCTCGGAGACTTGGTTTAAGCCCCATCTTCCTTCTACCTCTTACCCTCTCTCTGGCTTCAGTTTGATACGAAACGATCGAGTTGATAGGAGAGGGGGTGGGGTCGCTATATATCTTCGTTGCGACTTCTCTTATAAAATTGTAGCTTCTTCTTCCCCTTATTATACTGCATCTGCTGAATTTCTATTCCTTGAAGTTTGCGTAAAAGGAGCTAAATTGATTCTTGGTGTTGTTTACTGTCCTCCTTCTGTCGATTACTTCTCTAGTCTTGAAACGATTCTGGAATCCTTGGGGTCCGAATACTCACATCACATTATCATGGGCGATTTTAATACAGACCTCCTGACTCCGCACTCATCCCGTTCCTCTAAGCTCCTTCACATTGTCGAGTCGGTTGGCCTCCACATTTTACCTTTACAAGCCACTCACCACAATGTTGATGTAGAGGATACCTGGCTTGACTTAATCCTTACCTCTGCTCCTTCTCTTGTCTTCTCCCACGGTCAGCACTTTGCACCTGCTTTCTCCTATCATGACCTCATATTCATTTCTTACGTCCTAAAACCTCCTAAACCTCCAGCTAAAACTCTTCACATGCGTTGTTTTGGTCGCTTAGACGTTGAAAAACTTTGTATGGATGCATCCAAAATAAACTGGAACAGCGTGGTTTCTGCATCCACTGTGGACGAAAAGATAGAGGCTTTGAATGAAGCTATCCTTAGGCTATATGATGTACATGCTCCGATTAAAAAAGTGAAGCTCAAGCGTCCACCCGCGCCATGGATGACGATTGGGGTTCGAATTGCGATGAGACGTAGGGATCGGGCTTTTGGCAAATTTAGAAAAGATCGATGTGATGAGAACTGGACTCTTTATAAAGTTGCAAGGAACCGGTGCAATCAGATGATACGCAACGCCAAACGCCGATTTATTCTTAGTAACATCTCATCTTCTTCCCCTGCTAATATCTGGAAGTTCCTTGGAACCTTAGGTATCGGTAAACGACAACGTTGTGAGTTTCAGAAGACGATTGGTCTGGATGATATTAATTTTCATTTTGTCTCCAACAGTCCTCTTGATCACCAGACCAAGCGTCTTACTATTGAACACTTAATGGGTTTACCTCGTCCCGATATTGATCTCTTTCAATTTTCTCCAGTAGCTATGGATGAGATCAAGAAGACAATCCTATCCATTAAATCTAATGCTGTAGGTTGCGACAACATCAGCCGACGGATGATTATCTTTATACTTGACCATATCCTCCCTGTTATCTCGCACATCATTAACTTCTCCTTGGATTCTGGTGACTTTCCTTCTTTGTGGCGTAAGGCTTACGTTATTCCATTACAAAAGATCACAAATCCCACTCTATCCAATCATTTACGACCTATATCCATCCTTCCCTTCTTATCCAAGGTCTTTGAGGCCTGTGTCCACAAGCAACTTTCGCAGTTTATCTCCTGTCATAACTTACTAAGTCCCTTGCAGTCTGGCTTTAGGCCCGGTCATAGCACCGTTTCCGCACTCCTGAAAGTAACTGGTGATATTAGGGCAGGCATAGAGGATACTAAAGTCACTGTGTTGGTTTTAGTTGACTTCTCGAACGCCTTTAATACCATCAGTCATGACCTTTTAATTTCCATCCTTTCCCTTTCAATGGTCTCACCCGAAGCACTGGATTGGTTTTCATCATATCTTCGAGGTCGCCAGCAGTCGGTTCGCATCGATGAGCTATCATCTAGCTGGCTTGACTTACATGCTGGTGTTCCTCAAGGCGGCATATTATCTCCTTTGTTGTTTTCTATATTTATTAATCTCATTACCCAAGACCTTCAGTCTGCGTATCATCTGTATGCCGATGACTTGCAACTGTACACACAAGCGAGTATTGACAATATTTCTACAGCGATGGACATAATTAACAGGGACCTTGAGTATATTAAGAACTGGTCTGACAGGTTTGGCCTAGTGGTCAACCCTTCGAAGTGTCAGGCCATAATAATTGGTAGCCGTCGGATGATTCATAGATTGAAAACGGTAGCTTTACCTCCTATCTTTTTTAATAGTACTGGGATCCAACTGTGTTCTACTGTGAAGGATCTAGGTTTATTAATTGATTCTACTTTGAGTTGGAAAGACCAAGCAACGACCGTTAGCCAGAAAGTTACCGGTACCCTGCGTTCTCTCTATCGCCTAAAAAATTTTCTGCCATCTGCAATCAAAGCAATGCTTGTGCAAAGCTTAATTTTTCCCCTAATCGACTATGGTGATGTGTGTTATTTCGACCTGAATGCAGATCTTCTCAATAAATATCACCGTCTTCTGAATAACTGCATTCGATTCATTTTCAATCTTCGAAAGTATGACCATGTATCCACGTATCGATCTCAATTAAAATGGTTACCTATTCGTCAACGCCGTAGTTTGCGTGCACTCACTACCCTTTATTCTATCCTGATGTCTCCAACTTCCTGTTCCTACTTATCTCCATACTTTCAGTTGCTTAGCGCTAGTCATGAGAGAAACCTCCGCTCTACGAACAACCTTCTTCTCCTATGTCCCTCCCATAGCTCTGGACTTGTTCATTCTTCTTTCCACATTCAATCTATTCTCCTTTGGAACGCACTACCTCTCGAAATCAGGACGGCTAGCAATCGTAACGCGTTCAAGATGAAGGTTCGGGAATACTTAACTAATAAATTGGCAGATTCATCATAGTAATAGTTTATATATATTTTATATATAAATATATATATTTTATTTTATTATGTCTATAATTGTATATCTTCATGAGTTTACATACATCTGACGTTTTAATATGTACTTAAGTAATATACATTTTTATTATCTTATTATTTTTATCATAATTTATTTTATAAGTATATATATATATATATATATATATATATATATATATATATATATTATATTTTTTTATACCATTTATATCTTATGTATTTTATTTCGATGTGCTACAATTTTTTTTGTTATTTTAGTTTAGTATTAACATATTACCTTTTTATTACTCCTACTTCATTATATCTCTGCATCATCCCAAGGTAGACTGGTAGAGAATGCCTTAGGCATTAAGTCCGCCTATATACCACATGTGTATATGAAGTTTTAAATAAAATAAAATAAATAAAAATAAACGCTCGCTGTAAATTTCACAGTTCGCGAGCAACCCGGTTTCCATTCCCGCCCGCCCCAATGAAAATATTAATTGCAATGTTTTCAATTTCAATGGTTTGCCATGTGTTTGACGGTGAAGGAAAACGTGATGAAACCTGCAAGTCAGAGAACTTAGAAAATAAATTAATTCCAAGACATGTGAAGTCCATGACATTTATACATGCCTACATGGATACTGCCGCTTCTAATCCGATTCAGAATTAAATTCCATTTGATTTGTTTGGAACCCGCATTCGCAAACCGTGTGCATAAAAAAAGATCGCAAATTGATATTTGATATCAGATTATAAAAGTACTTTATGTAAAATATTGGATATTGAAAGGAAATTGAAATGTCTTCTATTTATTCCGAACGAGGCAATTTTAAAATGATCGTCGAATCGAATCGGTTTACGTATAACGTAAAGTTTAAAGTAAAATTACGCCCTGTTTACCTTTTAAAACAATTCGGTTCTCATTTTCCGTGTAATATAAAGTTTCTAGTAAAATTAGTACATAGGTACATTCCACCCCTCCACTCACGAGTTTTTTTAGGACAAGAACATGTCCGCCACGCTGCCGCAATGCATGTTGCCCGACTTCACATGTCTTCGGAATATATTTTTTTTATTTCTCAGAATTTTTATGCTTTTCTTTATAAAATTGCAATTAACAATCACATTGGTGCCGGTGGGAATTCAGCCCGAGCTGCTCGCGTACTGTGAAATTTACAGTAAGTACTAGCCTCTGCGCCACAACAGCACAAATTTTTCGTTGTCTTTTAAATCAAATATGAGTGATAAATGGGAACACAGTTCACCCGAGTGTGAGCGGATACTACAGCCCGTAGACATCTACATATATTCGCGATTGAAAATCAAAAAGGATGCATACAAAAATGATACCAAATTCGTTGGAGGAATAAGATGGACAGCTTCGTTTCCAGAAAAACGGATCGCCGGTTATCGATTCACCAGCTAATTCGGATCGTAAGCGGTATATACTTCACGTTGTAGGACTTCTTTTCTGCCTCGGAGCCTGTCTGAATAGTCCCCCTCCCCCATTACCTATTTCTGCTGCTACAAGTAGTGACAACGCATTTGTAGTCTCCTTTGTTTGAAGTTGCTTGCCGTGTCCTAGATTGCAGTCGTCACTTCCATCAGGTGGACAGTAAATTTATTTGTCACTTTAGTTTGAGATTATCTGATGATATCGTTTATGTCAGACTAGAAATAGTCACTATGGAGAACAGTTTTAAGAGTGAAAAATCTTGAATCAAATGTGCCCTATAGATGAGGGGCGGACTAATGTTTTTTTTACATATTTTTATTACTATCATTTCGTATAATTTTAAAAGAAAAAGAGGTTAGGTACTTCCACCTGCTTGCGGTTCCGTAATTAATAAAATTAAAACTAAACTCAAGCATACCACTGCAAGACTTCTAAAAAGCTAGTTAAAAAGCTAAGGGAACCTCGGGTTAACCGACATCGGCTCGTCAATCATCTCAGTCCTTCCGTGATCATGCAGAACACCTGAAACGTCGTGAATTCAACAATCCGTAGGTTAAGTTTTATTCAATATCCGTATGGTATCTTTATTACAGTTACAACATTTTAATATAAGAAAAAAAACTTTCCACGTCCGTACTCAGCGGCGGTTATATGCATAGCGGCGGCATAGGTTGGATGAATGGTATAGAATTTTTAAATAATAATATAATATGACCTTAAATAAAAACACACCGGCATTAAACTGCTATTTTACGCTATTTTTGTTTTGTTTTACTTATTATAAGCTAGTGCTTGACCACAAACTTAACACAGTTCAAAGGGTTTTACTAACCATTTGAACTTGTACACAGAAAAGAAGTCTTACCTACTCTACCTCCAGGCTGAGCAGAGAAAATATTGTGGGTGCAAAGTGCAAACAGCTAAGTAAATAACCATCTATGTCTACATAATATATACAGTATTATGTATATATATATATATATATATATATATATATATATATACATTATTAAATATAGCAGTTTCTAATTCATACTCCAATAAAAAAATATGAAATGGAAATCAACAAACTACTCCTGCAACGTTAGAAAGTGATTCCCGAGCAAGCGTTTGAGCTATGCCTTGCTGCGTGGCTGAACGTACACTGCCCAGTAACTCGTTCCATAATCTTACCGCTTAGAATTTTCCGTAGGACGAAGACGAATATTGTGCACAGTATTCTGAAATATCTGCGATAGCGGAGAGGTAGCCATTTAAGCTGAGAACTCTAAGAGGAAATGTGGTCGTATTCACGTAAAACGAAAATGAAGCGTATGCAATTATTGTGTTGTTTAGTTCTTGAGAGGCATTGTATGTTCTTTAACGAATGCTGCAGAGTTATGTGATGTCAGACCGATCTCTCTCGACTGTTCTTAGTTTAAGTAGGCTTTATTTTATATTATCTATTTTAATTTTTCTTTAATTAACAAAAAGTTTAAGGTTACTTGTATTACTAAACATATTTGATCCGTGATGGTCGAAATAAAATATTGATTTCTTAGATTTACGCGAACACTACACATTGAATAAAACTATTTTTACGGATTTTATCGCGTTTAATTTACTTATTTTATATTCCCGACGTTTCGGTTGCTTTCCAGCAACCGTGGTCACGGGGGACTGAGGTGATTGACGTCCCGATGTCAAAGTTAACCCGGAGTACCTTCAGCTTTTTAATTATTAATTTTGGTCCGATCTACGCAGAATGAACTAACTGTGTCTTGAAGTCTTACAGTGGTATGCTTGGGTTTAGTTTTAATTTTATGAATTACAGGAGCCCAAGGAGGTGGTAGTACCCAGCCTCCCTCTCTATTGAAATTAGGATGTTTTTTAATTTCAATAGCCTCACGTATCATCCTTGGCAGGAATCGATGTTCTTTCGCGAGGACTTGTGGTTTATCAAATCTAATGTAATGACGGGGGCCGTCTAGGATATGATCACAAACTGCAGACTTCCCGAAACGTTGGTGCTTCACGTCAGCTATGTGTTCTTTTACGCGGGTTTTTATTGATCGTTTTGTTTGCCCTATATATGAGAGAGTGTAGTGTTCGCGTAAATATAAGAAATCATTATGTAAACCAGTACGGACTGGAAATAGCAAATAAAATACGCCGACTAGAAGATCTCAAAACCAAGCGCGCAAGATACATAACAGCTTTAAACTTCTTGAAGAGATGCAGAGACCATAATCTCATTCCTACGTGTGTCAAGATATCTACTAAAAAAGACATTCGAGGAAGCGCTAAGATCTTAAATCAGGCAAGCAAAAAATTGTTAATAACGGTGATTCAGCAAAAACGTACCGATCTATGTTTTATTCATAAAACCATAGACAAATCGTCCAGTGATCTAAAGACAGTTTTATCGACATTTGATTATAAGAATTGCATGGAAACTTTAGACAAACGTGAAACAACTAAATACAATGAATGCAAAAATAAACATATAGATAAATACCAAAAACTAACAACCAAATCAAATGTCCAACGCCAATGTCAACGTAATAACGGAACGCAATCATTGACAACAGACGCGAGTAATAAACAACGTGCGGTCTATAACCTGTCAAAACAATCTCTAGACGACGCGACGATAAAAGTTTTGGCCAAAGGTATGAATTTCGCTATAACACCGCGAAAAATTCCGTATGAAAACATTATCTGTAGTGTTGAGGACTGTTTGTATAAAAATAATATTGGTAAAGAAGATTTAGAGGCTATACGTCAAGACATTTCGTCCTTGTTACGTCGAAGCTCAGCGCCAAAATTAAATCTTCCCAAAGATGAATTTACTGCATTGAAAAACTTACGCAACAGACCAGATCTTACGATTCTCCGCGCAGATAAAGGTAATGCTACGGTTATAATGGATACGTCGGATTACAATTTTAAAATACAACAACTTTTATCGGATGAAAGTACGTACGTAAAGGTCAAAACAGATCCTACAACTAATACGCTTAAAACAACTAGCGATCTAATAAAGAAATACTCCGAGAAACTGAATCTAGACGTAAATTCGATAATACCTACGTGTGCCAAATCGCCGAAGTTGTATGGGTTACCAAAAATACACAAACCGAACGCTCCATTACGTCCAATAGTGAGTCAGATCGATTCGCCAACTTACAGATTAGCTCAACACTTAGCAAAAGTACTATCACCACTCAGAGGACATACAAGAGCACACACTAAGGATTCATACCATTTTGTCAGTGAGATAAAAGACCTATGTCTTACTGACAATGAAACTATGGTCAGTTTTGATGTTCAGTCTCTATTTACATGCCTACCTGTTGAAGACTGCATCTCAATTATAACTAGGAAACTAGAGGAAAACAACATGCCAGCAGAATATGCAGTATTACTCAGACATTGCCTTACATCTGGCTACCTATTGTGGAAGGAACAGTTTTACAAGCAAGTAGATGGTGTTGCGATGGGCTCACCGGTATCTCCCATTGTCGCCAATATTTTCATGGAGGACTTTCAGGAGA